CGCCCCGGACCGCAGGCACGCTCCTGGGCCCGCGTGCACACTCGTGGTCCGCGTGCACACCCCCGGCCCCGCATTGCAGACCCCTGTCCCCGCGTGCACGCCCCTGGCCCGCATTGCATACACCTGGACCGCAAGTACATCCTTGGGCCCGCGTGCACAGACTTGGCCCTGGTGCACACCCCTGTCCCCGCAGGCACGCCCCTCTGCCCGTCCTGCGCCCTCTAGGGCCGAGTCCGGGAGGACCTGGGGCTTGGTCTGGGGCAGGGCTTCGGAGGACAGAACTGTGCTTGGAGGGGTGTAGCAGACTGCGTTGTCAGACCAAGTAACCGAGTAGCCACTGACAGCCACCATGAGGCGGGCTGATGTCACCGCTGGTGTGGAGGTGGGCAGCTCCAGGTCTGGTGGCCCGACCCCAGGAGGTCAGGAAGGGCCCCCTCTCCATCTTCTCATTCTGCATTGCATCTCCTCCCCAAGCTGCCGCCTCCTTGTCCCAAGGCGAACCCCACGATCCAAGGAACCAGCCTCACAGAACCCTATTCAAAGCAAAAACGGGGGCCAAACGGGGGAAGAACCTTTCCCTTTCAATACTTCCCTCTCGGAAAAAGGAAGAAGCAATTTCTCAGAAAGCCTCGGGAGCCTTCCTCTTAACTCTCCTTGGCTTCCTGGGTCCTGTGGTTACCCCTTCCTGAGAAAGTGAGCGTCTGGCACAGGGGATGGAAACAGGACTGTCCAGCCTCATCTAACAGCACGCGCCATTGAAACACAGACCCAAAGAAATGTGGGGCAAAACATTTTTAAAGACCTTTCTTGTAAGATTAAAAAAATAATAAAAACGATTGTTTGAAGAACACATTTTAAAATAGACAAGAGTTACAATGAAGACCAGTCACAATCCATCTCTTGGCTTAGTCATAAAAGACTTTTTAGTTCTAATTCTTCATAATTTACTGACAAATTTACTAATTATTATAATTACCCAAAATATGCCATATAGCATAAAAATAAAATAAGATGAAAAGGAAAACCGTTACCTCAAGGCCAACTCAGTTGCACGTTTACTGCCTCCTGTTTTCCTTGCAGATTTACAAATCACCATATAAACAGTATTTAGGTAATTAGCAATTTTTGGTGAATTTCACCAGCAGAATTTTAGTGAGAGCATTTTGGAGAATTCATATAAACCGCTGTCTCAGCCGCCTAAGAGTATTGTTCAAATACTGAATTACATTTATGGTTGCCAGTGTTACAATTTTTCTAACAGGTCACACCAGTGTTGCCACTTCACTTTTGTGCCTTGAATATAAAAGCATTTAGTGCCTGCATTATGCAGATCTTTTAAACTTTCCGTCTCAGACCATAGGCTGTTTTTTCTTCCCCTGGGTAGAATTTTTTGAACCTGCAAGAGAAGAGGTTTTACAGCTCCAGCACACAGAATGCCGGTGCTTGATGCTGGCTGCTCATTTCCATATTCATGAATATTATCACCGTGGTCTCAGACACACTTCAGTGATGTCATCTGTTTTTCAGCACAGGGAGAACGCGGCTCTAAATAATGTGCACCGCTGTCTGCCGGGAGAGTTAACTTTAAAAGAGGTGTGTAGGTCCAGGGAGGTGGATGGGGCTGAGGAGATGCGGAGACAGACAGGTTCTTCTGGGATTACTGAGTGTGCCTGGATCCTGATGGATCCCAAGCCTTTCAGCTCCTTAACTCAGGGTTATGGAAGAAGGCAGAATGAGGATCGGGGGTCTGGGGGATGAATTCCTGCCTCTGTCAGAGAAGTAAGAGGTGTCTGGACCCGGAGTGAGTGAAGTGCACAATTCCAGTAAAAGATTCATTCAGAAGAGCTATGAAAAGGCCCCCTGGTTTCCCATCACACACAGAGCTGGTGGGTGGGGAGGGGGCCCCCTCCCCTGAAATGGGGCGGGCAGAGCAGGAAGGAACCTGCTTGGTTTCCTCTGGAACCTCCGTACCAACCTGAGTCAGCACTCCTGGGGCCTCCAGCTTGATCCTGTGTGTTGTGGGTTGAATTGCACATCCCTGCAAAGGGTACATCCATGTCCTCCCCTCCAGTGTCGGTGCACGTCACCTGATTGGGAAATCGATTACCTTTACAGAGGTAATCGAGTTGAAGTGGTTCAAATGAGTTCATCCTGGATTGAGATGGACCCTATAACTGAACGTGACTGATGTTTTTACAAAGAAGAGAGACACAGAGATGACCGAGTGAAGACAGAGGCGGAGACAGGAGTTATATGGCCACCAGCCAGGAAACATCCTGGGGCCACCAGAAGGTGCAATAGGCAGCGAGGGGTCCTCCCTGGGGGCTTTGGAGCCAGCGTGGCCCTGCTGAGGCCTTCATTTCAGGGTCCTGGCCTCCAGAACCCTGAGAGAGTACACTTCTGTGTTTCTAAGCGGCCCTAGGAAACGAACACTCCATAGTTGCAATGGGTGGGGTTGGGGTCAGCTTTCCGGAGCTCAAACCCCAGCTCTGCCCCTCATGAGCTCCCTCCAGGGGTCCTTGGGGGGCAGCAATGGCGTTCTGGCCCCCAGTGAGCTCTGTCCAAGTGCAGGGCATTGGGGTGATGCCCAGGGGCAAGCCCTTTGCTCAACACACGCTGCAAGATTACAGCTCAGCACTGAAAAGTAAGTCTTGCTGTGGGTGGTATTTCTAGTAATGTTGAGGTGGGAAGCCCCACGGAAAAGACCAGCAGGACCCCCAGGCAGGGCCACTACTTTCCTGCCAGCGCCATCCAGTTCCTTGGCCTGCCAGCTTTTTGTCTCTATAAAACAGCTCACACCTAGGAAAGCAGAACTTGCCCCTAAGATTCTATTGATTCCTTCAGCTCACTCCTGATTGGTCCATTTGTAACACCTCATTTGCATAGAGCTCACTCCTGATTGGTCCATTTCTAAAAAGCTCATTCCTGATTGGTCAACTTTATTATCTCTTATTTGCATATGATGTTGCAAAGTGTGAACTGGCAGCCTATAAAAGCCTGTGTAAACCCACAGACGGGGTCCAGAGCTTGGAGTGTTAACTCTTGTGGGCCCGTTGGCGCAATAAATCTGAGTTTTCCAACCTGCCCAGTGCTGCTTGGTCTCTCGTCCGATCCAGGTTGCTGTCACACTGAGCTGTCACACGCTTTGCTACAACAATGTAGCCAAATGCTCTTCTTCTGCTGAACGGTTGGAATCGCAGATGCAGACCAGCGCTTAATGTTCCCCGCGTTTTCAGTCCCATGGAGTTGTTTCCTTTTCCGTTTCTCATCTGGTGATTCTCCTGTCCCCAGTGAACACCCACCGCACTGGAGAACTTACCAAGAGAATGTGTTTTATTCTCTTTGCTGATGGGCTGACCTCTAAGGTCTACCTTCTGCTGGAAAAAAAAAAATCTGTCTCCCTCTGTGTCACCTCTTCTTGGAAAGCATAAAGACTCTTCAAGTTAGATGAGTGTAAAATTTGAAGACGACTTACCAGGTAGGTCCACTGGGCAGCCTTCCGGTTCTAACCTTCCCCGGGTGATTTGCTTCCTCGCTGACCATACGTGGAGATGCCACCATCTCTTATCAGTGCTGGGGTCTGG